CATTTTCCCCTTTAAATCAATGACTTTTCATCTTCTTGCATGTTTCCTGTTGACAGCGTGGGTGGCTACAACTGACCAGCAGCACCATTTTCTCACTTCCTTTGTCTCTGAACACTCAGACCACAACTCATCTGAGTGGTAAAGTTCAAAGCACACTACAGCACACACAGCATTATGAGTTTAAGTACAGTTCACTGATGGTGAATATATATATACATATATATATATATATATATATATATATATATATATACACACACATATACATATATATATATATATATATACACATACATATATATTTATATATACACATACATATATGTATATACACACACACATATATATATATATATATACTTCATAAAATCAAGAATTCAAGTGAATATGGTACAACTTTATTCTCATGTTTGATAGGTTACAATGCAAAAAATGTCAGATCTTAACAGGCTGCATATGAGGAGCACTATGGGGTAAAATACAGAGAGCATGTTAAAGCTTTAAACATATGACTTTGTTTTATAAAATATACACAAAATAAATGTACAGCAAGCCATCTTCAAAACAATAGGCTGTGAATCAGCACAGCCTAAAATTACAAAAATGACATGAGTTAAGCATAGACAATTTCAACTCACCATTATTTATTTATTTCTCCCCATATTTCTCATATCCAATTCCACCCACTAGTTAGGACTCCCCGACTCGAAGGCAAAGGCTAGCACAGGCTTCCTCCGAGACCTGTGAAGCGCCACCATATCTTTTCAAAATGCTGCTTACACAACATCATTGGAAACCAGCAGTTCTGCTACGTGACACCTAACAGACACCTGCGCTGGCTAGCATTGCACTGAGTGATGCGGGACATGGGGGGCCATCCTACCCACCCAGAGAGAGTGAGGCCAGTTGTGCTCTCTTGGACTCCCGGCCACGGATGGCTGTACCACCACCAGGAATCGAACTTGCGATCTTCTGATGATAGAGCCAACGCTTAGACGGTTGCGGCACTCGTGAGACAAAAGTATATTTTCCTCCCAAAATAAATATCAGTGAGTCACGTAAGTGGTTCCCAACTCAGTCCTCAGGACCACCTAGACAGCCACATTTTTCCTTTATCCCTATGTGTTGTGAGTTGGGTTGGAGCAGAATTGTGGTCTGTTTGGGGAGTCCTGAGGATGAGTTGGGAATCACTGAGTTACACTGTTTTCCTTAAATATTAACCTATATATATAATATTAATCAAAAAATTCTGTACCATTGACTATCATACACAAAGGTTACAAATATAATGACTTTTCACAGGATTTCTGTCATCACACAGCGTACAATCTACATTAAATATTTTCATGAGCGTTGTCTAAAATGTTTAGAGGCAGAAAATCTTAAATAATCATGTTAGCTGTTCTGTTGTCTGAATAAGCTTAGAATACATGTTTGATAGGAGACAAAATGTTCAGAACCCCAACAGTATAAAATACATAAAGGGGACAGTCAACAATCAGTAAAATATTATGAACTAATAATAAGTACAGTCAATATCAGAAACTGGTTTTGTCCACAAGCACTTAGGTAGGAAATTATGTCAGTGTAATTTTGAGTTGAGTACAGTATACTTTTAGTGGTACACTTTAAGTTTATGGTACAACTTTATGATCTCCAGGGGATGTTTGCAGGTGCATGTTGTGTCCTGTAGAGGTCATAGGGTCCTGTACATGGCCAGGATTCAAATTCTGGTTTAACACAGGTTGTTTAAAATTCAGAGAATGTCTTATGTGATCTCCTTGAACATTTGGTCCCAAGCAAACGAACCACAAGGTTATTTAATTGAGTTTTACAACAAAAAAGAAGTGGCATCTTATGGATGGTCCTAGTGATTAAAGTTTAAGGCATTGCAAATTGTCACTGCTGATCTTGACACAAATATCCTTCTGAAATAGTAAAACTCCAGTAAACATTCACCTCTTATCAGAAGGACTGATCTACTAAATGGTTATAGAAACAACAAAGAATGAGTGAACTTCAAAACAGATGTTGTGTTTTACACACAACTGAAAGACTAAGTCCTGTTTCACTGCTGTTTCTGATAGACACAGATGAAATTTGCGTCCATAGGTCATAACGTTGTTCTTCAACAGAATTGCACAGTTGTTTATTTTATGCTGCTGTAAGTCACTGAGACATTGTCACAAGTGGAAACTGCAGACCTGCAACCACATGGCAAACACAGTGTGATCCTCCTTAGTACATAGTTTTATTTTTTTTTCTTTCAAATTTTAAGCTATTTTCAACAGAATAAGTGTCAGTTCATCTCACCTGTCGATGCAGGTAAATCTCACAGTAGTACACTGAACATCAGTCTTCTCTACCACTTTATCTGGATCTAGATCAAGTGTTGCATCACTGGTTTTAGATCTTACTGTCACACTGCTGTACAGAAGTTCCTGAAGTGAGAAATAATGACACATAATAAATCAGCAAATCATCTCAGAGAGTAAGACTCTGAATTCGTTTTATTACATGTTACACAAATTCAGTTTTTCTTCACAGTGATGTACTAACTACCTTTCTCATTTTAAAATAGGGATAATAGGGATAAGGACACAATAGTCCTAAATAGTTGCTCTAAAGGGGCATGTTGTGTTCTGGTTGACTTGCCTGTCTTTGATTTGATGCATTAGCTGAATGTCCTTGTCTCTTTTTCCTAACATATGTCAGTAATAAAAAAAATATGAATGTTAAAACTGGCTCAGTTGGTGGAAATAATAAATGAAGGCAACAGAAAATGCTGTTCATTATTTCAGTCAGTTCAGACAAGATGCATATACGTACCTCACACACAAAACAGTAATGATGACAAATAAACATCCACATCCAGCAACGACCCCAACAACAGCAAACAGAACAACACTCTTAACTGCTGTGTGCAGAGAAATTTTAAAAACAGTTAAGAATTACACTAGGTTGTAAGAATGTTATGTGTTATAAAGTGTTATAAGAATTTGTTGGGGTTAATTAATATTCCTCCACCATTAATACCTTTCACAGTGGCAGTCACTGTAGCTGATTTCTGAGATCCGTATTCATTCTGAGCCACACAGTAGTAGGATCCACTCTGTAGAGCCCTGTAACTGTGTCCAGGTCTTACAGGTGAGCTTCCACCCTCTTTAAACCAGGTGTAGTTCTGCACAGGTTGGTTTGCATCACTGCTGCAGGTCAGACTCACTGAACTGCCCTCTGCTGTTTCACTGCTGGACACCAGGGCTTTTTTGGAGCATCTAGAAACATAGCATGGCAGTAGAGCATCTTAAATACAAATGTGATGTGTCTTTTCTGTTTGAATAAGCAAAATTATAGTCTTGCAGAAGTACATCATGTTTATGTTGTGATACCCATCATTAACTTCAGCACATGAAGAGGATTCATTTTAACAAAATACTCAGAATTACCATTATACAGGGATTAGAAACCACAGTTTAACTGTTAAAGGCTGTTTAAGCTATCACTCTCGGTATGGCATGTTAACCTTGGAGATTTATATATTCATTTCATTTACTCATTATTTCATTATTTTATAAAGAGAGATTGGTGGTCTTGCATCTGCTGATAGTTAAATTTGATCACAAGCAGTTGAGCATGAACCCTCAGCTTTGTTTGTTTTCTGAGACTGAATGAATGAATCTGTACTTATATTTGACATTAAGAGTGACCTCAGGAGAGCGAAGGTTCTGACCCAGTACAGCACAGTGAAAACTGCCTGCATCCTCCCTGCTGACCGACTGCAGGTGGAGTTGATTAATGCCAGAGGATAAACCATGTCCATTTCTGTACCAGCTGAATGTTGTTGTGACTGTCAGACTGCAGGTGGTTTTACATGTGAGAGTGATTTTATCTCCCTCTATCACTCTCTCATATTTATATAGACATGAACATATACATATGCATATACATAAACATAAACAATTATTTTAAACGCATGAAAAAGGTTTGAGACTTGGATCTTTGAGCTTGGTTTCATTTTCACAAGCACTATATCTTTCTTCCACAGTCTAAAATTGTAAACCTGCAGCATAGAAAACATACAATATATTGCTTGAGTGTATTATGAGTTTCAGTCTGTGTTTAATAAACCTTGTGTATGAAAGTGAAAGTAAACCACCATTAGCGGTTCACTGGGTAAAAAGCTACTTAAAAGTGAACATCACATGCTAAGGCTGGAAGAAGAAGAGACACTCACAGAGCTAAATGCACACACACACACACACACACACACACACACACACACACACACACATATATATATATATATATATATATGTATGAAACATTTTATTCTTGTAGTTTTATATTCATGAGTGGAAAATGTCATGCAAAATGTCAAAGTGTAACAAGTCAGAATGAGCCAGACGCGTGCGGATAAAAAAGAAGAAAGAAGCTTTACTAGTTAAAATTTGATCCAGAGTCGTCATCAAAAAACAGGCATAAGTCAAATCCAAAACAGACAGGAGGCACAGAAAAACAAACATAACACTAGGCAAACAAGTCATAAGGGGATCAGGCATAAGGCAAAGTCAAAAACACGGAACAATCGACACCAAAATACAAACAAACCAGAATAAACGTTCAGTAGCTCTGTGAAAGAAGCAATACCTCACAAAGAGCTAGTCTAAAAGCCCAGGCTTTAAACTAACACTAACTAGTCATGTGATCAAAACAACAGGTGTTACAGATCAGTATTCAGGTGAAGGAGGTCAAGGGATTCTGGGGAATGGAGTCCTTGAAGGCTTCAGAGCCAGAGAGAGGCATGACACAAAGGTTTTGTTCTCAGTGTGTCCTGTTGTGCTGTTTTCTTGCATTGCCATCTTTTTTCGCTTTCATTTCTCTCCTCTTTTGTCTCATCTCAGGGCTGACCATGGACGGCAACTCAACACACTCAATCAGCCAAAAAGAAATCTCTGATGAGGCCCTACTACAGCCAATGGTGCTGTTCACACCAAACTGACTATGGAAGAAGGTCTGCCTGCACTGCACACCAACGGCCTGATGGCCAACAGTCACTTTGTCCTGGGCGTCTCCTGAGACTGGCCGTACACAAATTGCATCATAAATGGTAATTTTCAGGGTCCAAGGCAGTCCAGTGGAGTCAGTATAGGCCAGCGGGGAAGGATCCGCACCCTCATTGGTGTCAAGGGCATGGTGGGCAGCAGAACTGAGGGCATGCATGGCAGACAACTCTGACTAATGTACTACAGTTAATGAACTACTGCTAATACAGCGCTGAAACACCTGTGTGCTGACCAACTCTGACTAATGTACTACAGTTAATGAACTACTGCTAATACAGCGCTGTTAAACACCTCAGTGTGCTGACCAACTCTGACTAATGTACTACAGTTAATGAACTACTGCTAATACAGCGCTGTTAAACACCTCAGTGTGCTGACCAACTCTGACTACTGTACTACAGTTAATGAACTACTGCTAATACAGTGCTGTTAAACACCTGAGTGTGCTAACCAACTCTGACTAATGTACTACAGTTAATGAGCTACTGCTAATACAGCGCTGTTAAACACCTGTGTTTCTCAGGTGTGCTATTAAGGATTTTTGTAATTATATTACAGAACTGCTTTGTGAATCCTGAACACCAGTGAATGAAGTACAGTGTCTTATTTCTGCTGATGGATCTTACCTGTGACTGAAAGATCAACTCCACCTGCACCTTGATACTTTCCTCTAGATCTGCGTTATATATCTGAAGTAGTATTTACTTTGATCTTTTTCTCTCACATCCCTCAGTTTAAGAGTGCAGTCACTGAATTGATCTCCGAGGTACTGAACTCTGCCTCTGTACTCTGGATCATCTAACAGATCAGGAGGGTCTACATCAGTAATCCAGTATTTAGTCCAGAAAGCTTTTTGAATTGAATGACCACTTGGATATGTGTAAGTGCAATCTATGGTCACTTCAGACCCCTTTAGAGCACAGGTATATTTAGGGTTGTAATTTACACCCCACTCATCCTGAGCAACAACTCCTGCAACACAAAATACAGAAATGTGTAAATTATTACTGTTTGGGTCTCAATGCTGCATAAAGTCTCCACTTCAGCTCATTTCTAAGACAGTTTGAATAATCAGCTGTAATAAGCTGAGCTCATTTGGAGATAAAAGCACAATGTAAGAAGCTCCACCCACAAACACAGCACAACTGACTGCAATATATAAAAACATATTCTTTTGTGTGTAACTAACTTTGTGGGATGCATACTTGATGAGAAGTAACAGCTCAGACTCACCAGAGATGAAGATCAGAAACAGCAGAGAAACAGTCAGAGACATTCTGAGTTAGATCAGCAAAGCAGCCTATATGATTATATACAACAAAACACTTTATTATATATTTAATATTCATTATATATTACATATATTTTATTACATGTTATATATTTATTACATAATTTACATAAGCGTTATAAACAGTGTTTTAAACATCAGCACAATGTTTAAATCTGCCAGACCACTTTCAAAGTGCAAAACGCCATGAGGTCATACATGCAATTCATTCTCTAGTAGTTAGTAGACTTTTAAGTACTGATTAGTATATACATGCCTCATATTAGTGCTGTATCAGTTATGTTATAGAAGTGTGATCGACTACCAGAGTGTCTCATCCATTCTTTTACAGACAAAATGATCAAAAAGACCAAAAGTAAATCTACACTTGTCAATCTAAACAGTACAAATGTGAATATTAGTAAATGTTTGTAGAAGGTAACAATAAATTCTTTACTAATTGAACAAGCACTAAGATTATTTTCCTACCTTTGTTAAACGATGTTCATCTCCTGAACCCAAAGAATGAACGAGGAGAACAGAAGAGCTTCATCAGTTTAAACAGTCGGCTGAGTGTGGTTAAAGTGTTGTTGTGTTCTCGCAAACAATAATTCTTCTTCCTGTTCTCACAGAACCAGTCCTTTATTCTTTAAGTACACAAGATACACTTATTCCTATTAAAAACTTCAAAAGATCAAAAAATCTTGGAAGAACTGCTCTATATTAAAGAATTTTAATGAGGCACATGTTAAATAATGAACACTTTCCCCTTTGACTCAAAGACTTTTCACCATCTGGCTTCAAATGACCAGCAGCTCCATTTTCTTTTTACACTACAGCTTCTGCTGTCACTTCACCACAAGACCACACCTCATCTGAGTGTTAAAGCTAAAGCACGTTATAGCACCCACAGCGTTTTGGCTTCGAGTTTAACTGGTGATGTTATTCATTTTATCCACTGATGATCACTGAAAGCTGCATCTTCCTCCATTCTGATCATCAGTGACTGTGGAAGATGATGAAGTGGACTTTTCCTTCCAGAGTCCAGCATTAATGTTGATAATAAACTCCTAGTCGGTCACTTTTAGTCCGTCACTCTTCACTGATTGGTCAGCTCACTCGTGCTATTTGCTCTTCTTACAGCAAATGTAAAAAGTGCTGCTCATCTCCTGTCAGAGCTGCGTCAGGATCAGATTCCTCCCTGTTTTATATCTCAGTCTCAGAATCAGATCCTAGCACAGCAGTGCTGCTCTGACAGGCCTTGTGAAGATCAGAGCAGCACTGCACAAACACACTCATTAGCTGTAGTGATGAATGGAGCTGAGCTTTAGCTTTAGCAGATGGAAATATGGAGCTGATTCACAGTGAACTGGACACAATGAGATTCTGACCAACATTTAAAGTAGAAACACTACATGAGCAGAATTTGGAAAAAATTAAGTTCAGTTCAGAGCTGATGATTTCCTGTGTATCTTCAATACAGAATTAGTCTCAGATTCAGAATCAGCACACAGGAAGTGACAGGGCAGCATCAAGTGTGTGGGTAGTGTTGACCTCTGCATGTTCAGTGTTCTGTATGTGTCTTCCTGCTGGTCTGTGCAATAAAGAGCACTTTCTCACAGCACATTCACTGTGTTTTACTCTCTGCCGATGTGACAATATGCATGCTCCCTTATTCGCTGAATAGTATGAAATTTGCATATATTTGGTAACAGTGTAACTTCACACGCCTGCATATCTGCAGACAGGAAGAATAAACAGGCCTTGTTTTTTCTGTTTATGTCTCTCATTACGGTTACACCACATGAGGTACTAAAAACAAACTGAATCATTAAATTGTTAATTAAAGCGCTGCTCCTAAAACATCTGCATATCATGACAGACTACTGGTTTAATTGGGTTCAATCTTGTCATAGTCAGTTTAAAAAATGAGTGAATGCACAACCACAAGTAAAACAGTTCTTTTCTTTTACACTTTTTCCTCTTTACTCTGTTGGCCAAAACAGGCACAACACGAGACGTCTATCCATTTGTTCTGCTGCCACGTCTTTCTTAGGACTTTCTGGTGTTTTTAATTCACGTTTAAAAACGGGGACGTTTAAGGCGACAGCTCCAGCCAGGGAAAGACTACCAAAAACTGGGACTGTACCAGAAAACAGGGATGATTGTTCACCCAAGGCTTAATCCACATCCAGGAAACCAGCCCTTAATAATATCAGGCCTGACATAATTATCAGAAAATCACCCAATCACAATTATTTGAAATTTAATTGTGAGATTATCATGATCATTTTCCACAATTGTTAGATTTTATAGTGATTTTAAGCTACAAAAAGCAAAATGTGTTTTGAATTGAGGCAAATAAACATAAATAAAAGAATTCTGGATACATGAAAAATTGAACTTGGTGCTATAACGTGTTTCGAGAAGAGCACAAGCAATATTTGGCTATTTATTAGCCATGTGGCGAACTCCAGCATTTTTAGCATGTATGCTAGCAGAATGAGTGTTTTATTAGGTTAGGTTTGGATTAGTATTGTTTATATTTAGCTAATAAGTGTTCTAATTACTTATTGTATGTTTTTCCCTTAATTAGTTCAGGAACTATAGGTCACGCCTATTTAGAATACCTACAGATTAACTTTGGTTCATGGATTAAAAGGTAGCAACATAACATTAACAATCAATGGTATCATTGGGTCGAGTTTTGTATAAGTTAACCTTTTTTTTCCATTTTTTCTATGTTTGCATGTTACACATACACAATGGATGCTTAAGAGGAAGAAGTGAACATAAATCACCCTTAACATGAATCAACTCTGCATAAATGGTTGCGAATACAGATAAGCTCTTTCAAAGTCAAATAAAAATAAATAAATTAAAAAAAGTCTCAGCTCTTTTGATGCAGTCTCTCGAGTGAGCTTACAGTCCAACTGAATATTTCAATCAAGCTCTCAAAAAGTACTGTTCAGAAATGTCTCAAGGTTGGAAAGGAAAAACTAACGCAAGAGTGCTGTATTCCGTACAGTATTTCAGCACTTTTTCGCGTTTCAGTAGTTATTGTGGAAATACCCGTCACACACGATTTAATGATTGGTTGGACTTTGCAAAATCTGCCTAGCAACCAAGATGCATTTTGATTGGTCACATTAGGGCCACTACTTTTAAAGAAATATGAAAAAAACATCATCTGTGTGATCAGTTTGTGCCGTCAGTATTCTGTACACCAGCTTCCACAGAAGGAGCAGTTTTCCGTACAGTGTTTCCCTGCATTTTATTTGAAGTTTTATGAAATCTTACTGCATAAATATAGACATTAACTGATTATAAAATTGAATTAATATAAACAATATATGCAATGAATGAGGTTACCATGGAAAAAAGCCCAGGGAAGTGAGGCAGTGCTGTGAAGCTTTGCAGCTAAAAGGGGTCTGCTAAGGTCACTTAGCAGGTGTAAATTCAGATTAACAACTCAGTACTAAATTTACTGTGTTTCATGGTGATAATCCATTGTTTAATAATCGTTTAAATGTTAAATATGATGCTAAAATGTGCTAAAATGCATTTTAACTGGCCGTGAAACTTTTGCATCCCTGGGTTTCCCCACCTGCCATGTTCGCATAGATTTGATGTCCAAACTCTGCTTAGATGGTCTTGCCAACCGATTTGATAGAAAAAGGATATATGATGTCTCAGATGTATCTTTGACAAATGTCAAGAAAGTGTTTTTTATTACTCAAACAGGGAAAATTTGCCAGTGTGCGGAAATACCGTGCTCTTACAAAAAAAAATCCTTCTTTCTTCCTTGGAGCTTGGCTTGTAAAGTTCGAAATCCCCCCGAAAAAAATAGCTTTGTGCAAAAAAAGTGCGAACTTCAATACAATCCGTTTCCTACCGTACTAAAGCTAAGAATTCATAAGTTTTATCTGTTAACAGGCACGATATCGGTGGGTTGGCTCCATCTGGTGTCTGCGGTGCACACTTGCTTCAGTTTGCAATTTCACTGTGGTGGGTGAACCCAAAGGGAAGAAGGAGAAAACACACAAAAGAGGAAGGAAAAAAACCTGTCGTCCATTACGGGTCAAGAGAACACAAAATAACTCCGTTTCACATAACGCAAGTAAATAAACAACAAGGCTACGTGCTCTGCAGCTTTAGCAAAATGGCGACGGAGCAGCAGCTAATCACAGGCTAGCTCTCGCCCAACGTAGCTCACTTGTGTAAAATCCCACTGCTAGCTTGAATATCATGAGCTCAGTCTGATTTAAACAGTACTATAACGTGACCATTACCTTACCACTGGAATATAACCGTGAATTACACGTTTAGTTCACATTTCATTCACGTTTATATTACTAACGACGCTTTAACTCACCAAAACCGACTAGTTTCACGAACCAACAAGGACAGTTTCCCGTCCTCGTCTGGTTGATGGTCTGGTAACTGCTTTCAAGCTGGTTTTATAACGGTTTTAGTTCTTTTATTTCCAGAAAATAGGCTTTATTTCGCTGTTTGTTCGGGTTCTCCCCTCTTTTCTCCGTTCTAACCTAAATGAGTTTCACTCGCGCTGCCGTTGGTTACACGAGTTTCTTAAAGGGGCAGAACACCTTTTACCACACTGCATATAATTACAACTGCTGAGCGGTTTTAATGATCTAATGACATCTCCTTCATCCTTTGTGGATTTCTAACATGGACTATCATTTCAGCTCATTTAATTGTGCTAATAATAGTACAATAACTCAATACCTTTTAGGTGTGTGAGCAGACGTATTTTAATATGGGCTACAACATCAACAGCTGCGTACCATGAAAAGAAAATTAAATTGTTATTTGCAATTATTTAATGATAATTAATTTGGCATCTAAGAACTGTGAAAGCCCTAAATGACATTAATAGTAAAAGCTCTTGATGATCGTGTCAGGGTTGATCTATCATCGACTGGTTTGTGCTGCCATCTAGAGGAATGTAGCTGTAATTACATGCACATTGTACTTTAAGGCCCATCACTGACTGACTGACTGATATCTGGAGCTCTGTATCAGCTCACCTGACACTTCATCCTTCTTTCACTAACTCACTAATATTTTCAGTTATTTATTAACAATACTGCTGCTGTTTAATGAATACATGTATTACAAGGTTTATTATTTTATTATTATAATTTTAGAGTCTTGGACAGTTGGTATGTGGAGAATATGTAGATCAGCTGAAGTTAGTTTGGAAGGAAATAACAAGAGAGACATCAGTGAACTCATTCAGAAGAACCTTTACTGTAAATATTAAACTTATAATGAAAGAAAGGCATAATGACTAGAGGAAAGACAAACATGCACTGTTTTACAGTTTATACTGCATGAATATTGGGAAATGAATAGAAATGTAAACATTTGGGACGATTCCAAAGGACAGGTAATAACTAACTGAAGCTAAACTGATCTGCCCTGCTGGACGCTGCCAAAACTCTAACAAAAAATTTGGAACATTTCACTTGCCAGTAATTCCCCATCTGGCCACCAGAGGTCTCTCTCCTGATTACTAGCCTTGATGCCAGGATCAAGCCACCTGCACCTCATTATTTCTCTAATGAGTCTCACTTTAAACACTCCACAAACTCAGCCAGACCAAGCTAAGTATTGCCAGTCTCTTTGAGTCTGACTACTGAGTATTTGTTTTGTTTGACCTCTGTGTTTAGAACCTCTGTCTGCCTTTTTGGAATCTGTCTTTGATATTTTGCTTTTTGCATCTCTACCTGAGTCTTTAGACTGATTTACTGGATTGCCTTGTTTTTAATAAACTTGCAAATGGATCCCTCACAACTCTCAGAGTCTATATTGTCACATCACTACACTGTTAAACCCATCCCTAAGATGATCTGTACACATATGGACAGAACAGACATGTGGACTGCCCGAGGGGACCTGAGGGCCAGTTTGAGAACCACTGCTTTAGTGAACCATTTGTGTAAATAAGATATGTTGGTGTGAAGAAACTTTGTAAGGTTTAAAGAACCTCCTCAAGATAATGTAAAGGTTCTACAAATATTAGACACTACAGGTTTTTCCTCTTTTCCCAACTGTACCAGGAATCTTTATTTGAAATAGTTAATCATGTAACTACAATTTATTAATAAGAAAAACATCTTTAAAATAATAATAAAATAAGTGCTACTGATCAGTGTGTGCTGTCCAAAAAAGTTTTTTGAAATCATGTGAGAAGAACTAAGAAGCACTGAATGCACTTGATAAGTTTTCCTGAATACAGAGCTCAGATTCTTGAACTGTTCACAAAGCTGTACAGCAATACTTTAAACATATAAACACTGAGCACATCACTCAGTTATTCTCTCTCTCTCTCTTTCTCCTTTGTTGGGTGGATGTGATAAAGTCTGAGTGGTTTCCATGGTGATAGTCAGTCAGCGTTTGTTGTTCACAGTCTAAAAAAGAAACACACATGAAACTACAACCAACCAGTATCTAAGTACAGATCATCAGAAGGACTGGAATGAACAGTCTGTGTGAGGGAAAGAGAGAATGAAGCAGAGGAGGAGAAATGAAGAAATGTGGACTTTGTAGAAATTCTTTATAAATCTGAACGTCTGACTGAACTGAGTTTCTGAAGAGACACTTACTGCAAGTGTGTTGTACACATCATCAGAGGACCTGGACACGGGGTCAAGAGCTGTGTACGTGTTGTCCTTAGCATTAGGGTCAATGTACTGGAGAGAGGAGAGTTTGAGTTCTCACTAATAAACATCAAGTACGTTTACACTACAGACCAAAAGACTGGAGGCAACACAAACTTAATAAAAAATATATTTAAATTTTTCAGTCTAAAGGCCATAAATGTAACTTGCTTATTATGTTTTTGGTTACTGAGTTGTTTGTATAAATAATATGATTCATTACTGTATTATTTTAAACAGCCTCCTGGTTTCTGTGATATGAATGCAGTGAGACCCTGCCAGGCTAAAGTACACCTTCTGCATGGCAGAGTTAGTTTAAACATACTGTCACAACTAATCCTACCAAAGTAAACACTGAGAGTTGCTCATATGGCTCCTCAAGGGTCACTATTGGGACCCCTTTTGTTTTTAATGTACAAGCTCATTTCCAAAAAAGTTGGGATGCTGTGCAAAATGTAAATGAAAGCTAAATACAACAATGTGCAAATCATTTAAACCCTACATTTGAAAATAGCACAATATATGAAATGTTGAAACTGAGAAATTTTATTGTTTTTTGAAAAATGTACGCCCAATGTGAATTTGATGCCAGCTGTTTCAAAACAGTTGGGACGGGGCAACAAAAGACTGGCTTTTTATGTAATGCTAAAAAAAAACCTGAAGGTTAATTGGCAACAGGTCAGTAACATTATTGGGTATAAAAAGAGCATCACAGAGAGGCTGAATCTTTAAAAAGTATTATATTGGAAATCACTGCATGAGCTCAGGCATACTTACGAAAACTATTGTCTTTAAACACAGTTCATCGGTACATCCACAAATGCAGGTTAGAAGAGGAAACTATAAATAAACAGGATCCAGAAACGTCACTGCTTTCTCTGGGTCTGAACTCATTTAAGATGGACTGAGGCAAAGTGGAAAAGTGTCCTGTGATCTGACGAATCAAAATTTAAAATTGTTTTTGGAAATCATGGACACTGCGTCCTCCAGGCTAAAGAACACCCGGCTTGTTTTCAGCGTAAAGTTCAAAAGCCAGCATCTGTGATGGTATAGAGGTGCATTATTGCACATGGCATGGGTGACTTGCACATTTGTGAAGGCACCATTAATGCTGAATGATATATACAGGTTTTGGAAAAATATGCTGCCATCCAGACAACATCTTTTTCAAGGAAGGCATTGCTTATTTCAGGAAGATAATGCCAAACCACATTCTGTACACATTACAACATCATGGTTCTATAGTAAGAGTTAGAGTGCTAAACTGGCCTGCCTGTAGTCCAGACCTGTCACCCATTGAAAACATTTGGCACATTATGAAACAAAAAATACGACAAAGGAGACCTCAAACTGTTGAGCAGGTGAAATCTGACCTATAATGACCTATATCAAACAATAATGGGAAAACATTTTACTTTCAAATCTACAGCAATGCTCCTCAGTTCCCAAACACTTACAGAGTGCTGTTTAAAGGAGCAGGTGATGAAACATGCCCCCGTCCCAACTTTTTTGGAACGCGTTGCTGTCATCAAATTCAAAAGGTGCATGGTTTCTTTCAAAAAACCTTGAAATTTCTCAGTTTTAACATTTGATACTTTGTCTTTGTATTATTTTCAATTAATTATTGGGTTTATATAATTTGCATATCATTGCATTCTATTTTTATTTACATTTTGCACTGTGTCCCAACTTTTTTTTTGGGTTGACAACCTTTACTTGGCAGCAAAAATGTATATTTAATTTGTTTACTGATGACACCAATTTTTATCTAATTAGGATGTCATATATTAATCTCATCTATAATTTTAGAATTATCAAACATTAATCACTGGTTTAAAGCTAATCAATTACACCTTAACATCAAAAATAATCATACATGCTTTTCAGTTTTCAATACAACTTTCAAATTCTTCAATATTCCACAAAATCTTCTAATGACCTCCACAGAGATTTCTTTAGGACCTCATTTGACAAGTTTACATTCTCTCACCATGGACCTTCAATCTGGAACTGTCTACCAAACCTGCCTCTTCAGCTTCTAAGAACAGGTTGAAACTCATCTACTCTTACTTTAACACACGTAAATGTTAAACACCTAACTATGTGTTTTTGTGACTTTATCAGTTAGTTTTTTATTTTTTTTTATTTAATTAGTTTATTTAAATACTTCCTACAAGCCCTTTCTGGGCTTTTTTTACTTTAACTTTTTTACATTCACTCTTTTGTTTGTTGTTATTTTGTTTGTGTTTATTGAAAAAGTTTCTTCACAGAATCAGAAATAATGTATTATTATTAATATTTTTTATAATTACTTATAATTAATAATTTATTATTATTATAGATGGTCATGTTAAAAAAAATATATATTTGTTTCTTTTTCATTCTTGTAATTTCTTTAAACTTTGGTCAGTGCAGATGATGATGCATCAGATGGTGATGCATCTGACGTGTTTAAGCTGGAAAGCATATCTGGTTCAAACCACATACAGTTGTGTCAAAATAATTGTGTTCACATCATTTTTAAGATATTTATCTTATAACTAGCCTCTCAGTGTGTTACAGTTAACTCCAGCCTATGGGGTACGTTTTCACATTCATTCAGACACCACTTTTGGCACTATTTTTGTCTGACCGAATTGAGTTTCTGAAGAGACACTTACTGCAAGTGTGTTGTACACATCATCAGAGGACCTGGACATGGGGTCAAGAGCTGTGTACGTGTCATCCTTAGCATTGTGGTCAGTGTTCTGGAGAGAGGAAGTTTAGAGAATATTAGAGTTCTCACTGACCAACATGAGGTATTACAGATGAAAACAAATGAGAGTTTTTAATTCTCTAAGTTACTCTTTTTTTTTAAAAGATGATGGACTATAATATTTATATCCTCTTGGAATGACAGCCTGACATATTTAAGGGCTTTCTTTTCAAGTTTCAGCACATATGTTAAACAAACCAGTGGAAGATTCTTGAACTTCTGTGGGTAAATTAAATGAAAAAAAACTTTCCAAAAATCTTTTTCGAATGTTAACTATCACTGCTTGCTTCCATAATTTTGGTTTGTAGTTCATGAAGTGAACCAGCACCTTACTCCACACCTGTGCTTCTCTACAGGCCCATCTTAGATAAGTACTGCCATCTCCAGCTGCTGGAGCTCCTCTACACTGCAGAGTGTAGTGTTTACTCTGCAATAACCCACTAAATAATCTCAACAGGTAAGAAACAACCTTCAGGAGTTTAATCAGATGAGTTACAGCAGCACAAACACTAAACTGTGCAGTTCAGCTTCACTCCAACAGCTTTAACAGCTCACCCAGTGGTCATCTTCCTCCATCGTTCTCTTCTTCTTCTTGTTCCTGCATTCAGAAAGAAGTTAATGTTGCTATGATGTGTGCTACTAAAATAGTACTGTGCAAAAGTCAGAGACCCCATTATTTACCAGTTAAAACAGCCATTAAGTAAAAGTTATTTATTCTCTGGAGATTAGATATAAGATAATCCTCTTGTATCAGAATGGAGAAAAACTGTCAAAATAAAAGATTGCAGAGGAAATGGGACTCCTAACAACCACCTGGAAGACCTGGTAGATACCAAAACTACCCCCATCAGAAAAACAGCACTTAAAGCTTTCATCTTAGCTGCTTCAGTTCGGAAAAAGAATCCACAGGTGTTTCTGTCCATCCTTCAACTGTGAGAAGACAACTCAGCGCTGTGAGTCTGAAAGGATGTGAAGCTGTCAAGAAGCCGTTGTCAAGAAAAGCAAATAGACAAAAAAGAACATTTACAAGTGAAACAAAGAAGCTGCTGGAGTTCTCAGAACAATGGACTGACCACCCCAGAGTCCTGACCTTAATTCGGTGAACAACACTCAATGTGTTTGGAATGATTTGGATAGTGAGAAGCAGACAATGCAACCAACTGAACTTCAGAGGTGTGGAAAAATATCACTGTAGATTTTTTAGAAAAACATTTATTTCTCATCAAAGCAAAATTAGTAGCTTCTACTTGATGGGGGTGTTGACTGGAAACTTAATGAAGGGTGGTCTTTGACTTTTGCTCAGCACTGCAATGTTTTCAGTACTCTGTAGTTTTGCTAAATGAAGGAAGATGGAAAGAAGTGATGCAAATGTATGACAATTACATACATGATGATACAAATGCTGTTTCTTACCACATCAAGAAAACAACCAAAATAAATGCTGCAACCACTACACACAGAGTCATGGAGCATTCTGCTGAGAGACCAGTGCAGGTGTTTATACATTCTATCAATCACCTTCAAAGTCTATTAAATATTAAAAATGACATATGACGTTATTATAATACCTTTTAAATTGACAGGCACTGCAGCTGATTTTATAGATCCATGTTCATTCTGAGCCAAACAGTAGTACCATCCACTGCTTTTGGAGTCAAAGATGAAGCTGTAACTGTTTCCAGATCCTACAGGTGAGATTCCACCTTCTTTAAACCAGGTGTAGTTCTGCACAGGTACATCACTACTGCAGGTCAGAGTCACTGAACTGCCCTCCAGTGTTTTACCAGAGAAAGTGATGGAGATGGAGATGCTCTTTGGAGGATCTAAAAATAAGAATATCATTCTAATCAACACATTACATACAAAATACAAAATATAGAATGTAGAAACACAGAATGAACAACTAGAACAAGTGAACAGAATGTACTCACACAAAACATTCAGAGTTAGAGCTTCAGAGAGTTTCTCTCCATGTTCATTACTGGATCTGCACTTGTATTCTCCACTGTCCACAGAGCTGATCTTGTTCATTGTGTAAGTCTCTCCTCTTGCTACTAATGATGTTCCTTTAAACCAGTTATATTCCACAGGTGGGTTTGCATCACTGCTGCAGGTCAGAGTCACTGAACTGCCCTCCACTATTTCACCAGAGGGATTGATAGACACTGAGATCCTCTTTGGGCCATCTAGAGGTAGAGTGTAACATTACACTTTATGGAGGTGCTATTGTGTTTGAAGTGATGTATTTGCATATTTCCATCATTGACTTATATGAACAGTGTATGAAGATCACTGTTGTTGCATCTTTATGTAAAGCTTTCTCGATTATTTGAGGATGAAGATATTTATTATGCCTTCATACTGAATATTTAAATTTCACAAGAAAATACATGGAATTGTGTTTAATTTTACTGCATGAGACACAGTTAGACAATGGTCTGTACTTTTTCGAAATTACTGGCGGGAGTGTTTGCTGTTTTTTACATTTTCAATTTGCTTTTGCATATTACTCGCAATTAATTACAACCACCGACCTTTGAAAGTCACTTCTTCTCTCATCAAAATTGCGAGACCCCTGGAAAGGACTCAATTCAGCCGACGAAACAACGTGAGTGTCAGTATGGCAGACCACGAGCTGTTGCTTTGCTCTGAGTGCAGCATGTTTAGTTATGCTTCTCTCACCATCACTAGTGACAGCAGTGTTACTAGCTTTGTTTGTGAGAAGTGTAAGTTAGTTACGTGTTTGACGGAGAAGATTATACAGTTCAAGATGCATCTGGAAGTTAGAAAAGAGCAGGGCTAGTCAGCAGGGCTCAGACTCGCTGTTAGAAGCTCCGGGTGCCTCAGGGAGAGCCAGCACGGCCTCAACTCCGGCAGTAGAGCCCTAACAGCAGGGCGAATGGGTGGCATCTTGGCAGCATAGCCGCAAAGCTAAAGCTAAAGCTACCCCACGCGAGCACCACTCATCTCCCATTCACGTGTCAAACAGGTTTGCCCCACTCAGTGAGACACCCTCTGAGACGTCTGTTGTAACAGCTCTGGTTATAGGTGATTCTATTTTACGGCACGTGAAAATAGCTTCTCCCTTAGGGGCGCCAGTAGCAGTTAACTGTATACCGGGAGCCAGGGCGCCGGACATTAGAGGGAACCTAAAGCTGCTAGCTAGCCACAGATATTCGAGGATAGTCATTCATGTTAGCACTAATGACGTTCGTCTGCGGCAGTCAGCAATAACTAAAGATAACATTAAAATAATATGTAAATTGGCCCAGACAATGTCCGATGCCATATTATGCTCTGGCCCCATCCCAGTTCGATGTGGCGCCAAAATCTACAGCAGTTTATGGTCACTGAACTGCTGTTTTCTGAGTGGTGCTCAGAAAACAATGTGGGATTTGTAGATAATTGGTCTACTTTTGAGGGCAAGCCTGGTCTTTTGAGTTGGGACGATGTCCACCCCTCGCAGGAGGGTGCTGCTCTCATTTCACGTAGCCTGGCTCGTAGTCTCTCAGTTAGCCATTGTCAGTAGCTCACAAACCAGGGCCAAGGCCAGGCAGCATACAAACAGGCTAAACCGACCGTCTACCAGCTGCCTTGAGACGCCACATAGGTTCCACCCAATTGAGACTGTGTCTGTTCCCCGAATAAAACAAAGCATCAAAAATCCTCAAAAGGTTTGCTCTAGTAACTTGATTAATGTCCGACCAGTTATACCAGTTTGCAGTGACAGCACCTTTGGTCTAAAACTAGGACTGCTTTACAAAAGATCACTTACATCTAAGGCCATCGTTGTAAATGAAATTATTACCGATCATGATTTCGATGCTCTGTGCCTCACCCGACAAATACTTTGGTCTTAATGAAGCCATTTCCACAGGCTACAGTTATGCGCACAGCCCTCATTTAAGTGGCCGGAGTGGAGGTATGGCAACCATCCATACAAAAGCCATAGGCGTGAGCCAGAAAGTAGGCTATAAATTCTCTTCTTTCAAAATTCTTTTTCTTAATACAAGTGATCGAGGAACAAATAAGAATTCCTTTTCACTAATTACAATCTATAGTACAGGTATTCTCAGTTCTTACAGGAATTTTCTGACTTTCTATCAAGTGTAATATTAAAATTATTATTATTACTATTATTATTATTACTATTATTATTAGTAGTAGTATAAGTATTATTATTACTATTATTACTATTATTATTATTATTATTATCTGAAACCGCTTAATCCAGCTAGGGTCACAATAGCTGTTGGGAGAGCAGAGAATCCCAGATGACCCTAACCTCCCGCAACTTCCTCCAGCTCATTCCAGCGGACCGTGAACCACTCCCAGGCCAACTTCCCAGTAGGCCATGCCTGGTAAACCTCCATCAGAAGACAGCCAGTGGGCATCCTAATCAGATGCCCGAACCACCTCAATTGGCTCCTCTCAATGGAGTAGTGGCTCTACTCTGAGCTCCTCCTGGATGACCGGGCTCCTCACCCTATCAAGTAGAGTGTAGCCCATGAAAGCTCATTTCCACTGCTTGTATTCGCGATCTCATTCTTTTAGCCATTACCCACAGCTCATGACCATATGTGAGAGTCGGGATGTATTCTGACCGGCAAACAGAGAGCTTCACCTTATGGCTCAGCTCCCTCTTCAGCACTACAGTCCAGTACAGTGACCTCATTACTTCTGCCACCTGTCGTAGTCTGCGGCCGATCTCACGATCCCTCTTCCCATCACTTGTTAACAAGACCCAAAGCTACTTATTTTCCTTCACCTGGGGCAGGTCCTTTCCCCTTAGCTGGAGTGAGCATGCCATCCTTTTCCAGGTTAGGACCATGGACTCAGACTTGGAGGTGCTGATCCGCATACCAACCGCTTCACACTCAGCTGCATACCACTCCAGTGAGCACTGGAGGCACCCATGCGATTCGGCCATAAGGACAACATCAGCCGCAAATTGCAGAGACGCTGCCCTCTGGCCTTGACACATAACGGCCTCCTGACCTCGGCTGTGCCAATGATGCCCTGTCCATGAATATCACAAACAGGAGTGAAGAGTCCAACACTAACACTAACTGACTTAATGCCGAGTATACGGACACAACTCTCACTCCAAGAGTACAGAGCTTGAATGGCCCGGAGTAGTAGCCCCAGAACCCCATACTCCCAGAGGATCTTCCACAGGATATCTCGGGGAACATGGTTGTAAGCCTTCTTCAAGTACACAAAACGTGTACACTGGATTGGCAAACCCCCATGCCCCCTCAACAATCCATGAGAGGGTGAAAACCTTGTCCATTGTTCCACGGCCGGGAGGGAATCCACATTGTTACTCCTCAGTCTGAGGTTCGACTATTGGTCAGAGTCTCCTTTCCAGCACCGCAGCATAAACCTTTCCAGGGAGGCTGAGCAGTGTGATACCCCGGTAGTTGGCACACACCCTCCAGTCCCCTTTGTTAAAAATAGGGACCACCACCCCAGTCTGCCAGTCCAAGGGTACTGTTTCTGAGGTCCATGACACATTGCAGACGCGTGTCAGGCATTATGTTACAGTAAAGCTTTATCTAATTACCAATCCCTTGATGATCTCAGATGTGTCTGAGCAGTGAAAACACAAAAACATGCAGGATCTCCACAACTGGGATCAGGAACCCCAGTTTTACAGAGCGTGTATAAATATACCACAAGAACCCAAGAAAATCCACAGTTCACTACATTACCTACAAACACAGATTAGCAGATTTGGGTAAAACCTGATCACAAACAGTTCAACATGAACCCTCAGCTTTGTTTGTTTTCTGAAACTTAATAAATGAATCTGTACTTACATATGACATTAAGAGTGACCTCAGGAGAGTGAAGGTTCTGACCCAGTACAGCACAGTGATACCTGCCTGCATCCTCTCTGCTGACCGGCTGCAGGTGGAGTCGGTCAGCACTGGAGGATAAAGGATGTCCATTTTTGTACCAGGTAAATGTTGGACCATCAGACAGACTGAAGCTGGTTATACATGTGAGAGTGACTTTATCTCCCTCTATCACTCTCTCAGGAACCTCCACCTGGAGATCTGAGAACAAGAAAAAACAAACTTATATTGTGAACTTACATAAGCTGAATTATAGTGTTAATGTTAACGTCTTAAAATTCCAGGCTTATTACATACTAAAGCTTATTGTTCTGTAACTACAGGGACTTGAAAGCAAACTGGCTGAGCTATTCTTATGTTATAGAGGAGTCTAGCAAAACTTTGGGCCTGCCAGTAGGCCCTGGGCATTTAAGGGGTTAATGATTAAAGCACTGATGTTAATTGTAAACCTATGAAAATCAATGCAAACATTTTTAAATAGCCTTTAATACACTTTTCATTTTCATGCAGCTCAAATTGGACCTCAGCACTTGACTTAATGCTTCACTGCTCTAACTACACTGTCTTCACTGTGTCTTTTTTAACAATTCAATAAAACCAGTTATTGTTTTACTCATATTCATCTTCTCACATAAAAGTCATGATTTTACTGTGATTCAGTTGAGACTGAGTTCCTGTTAACAATGATACATTTTTTATCTATTTATGAACAAACAAATGAATCTGTACTTACATTTGAAATTAAGAGTGACCTCAAGAGAGGTCAGACCCAGTACAGCACAGTGATACCTGCCTGCATCCTCCCTGCTAACCGGCTGCAGGTGGAGTCGGTCAGTACTGGAGAATAAACGATGTCCATTTCTGTACCAGCTGAATCTTGGTCTGACTGTCAGACTGCAGGTGGTTTTACATATGAGAGTGAGGTAATCTCCCTCTGTCACTCTCTCAGGAACCTCCACCTGAAGATCTGAGAACAAGAGAAAACAAGCTTACTGTGGAGAAATTACACTGAGTGAATGGAGTATTGTGAATATTTCTGCACAAACAGGGAAATAAAATTAAACATTAAATAGTGGAAATACATGCAGTTTTTATTAAACCATTACATTTGATGTACAAATATTTTAATTACATATTTTTAAAAGTAATTCATACAAATAACTGATTATTTGAATATCTCTAAATTCAGTCTTAAACAGAGTGCAGGACAGTAGATGTTTCTCCTTCACAGCAGCATCATCAGTGTGGAACGTTAAAGGCAGCACAAGCCTCCTCTGAACTGTATGATAGCTGCTACTACAGTTAATGAACTACTGCTAATATAGCACTGTTAAACACCTCAGTGTGCTGCAACTCTGACTAATGTACTACAGTTAATGAACTACTGCTAATACAGCGCTGTTAAACACCTCAGTGTGCTGATCAACTCTGACTAATGTACTACAGTTAATGAACTACTGCTAATACAGCGCTGTTAAACACCTCAGTGTGCTGATCAACTCTGACTAATGTACTACAGGTAATGATCTACTGCTAATACAGCGCTGTTAAACACCTCAGTGTGCTGATCAACTCTGACTAATGTACTACAGTTAATGAACTACTGCTAATACAGCGCTGTTAAACACCTCAGTGTGCTGATCAACTCTGACTAATGTACTACAGTTAATGAACTACTGCTAATACAGCGCTGTTAAACACCTCAGTGTGCTGATCAACTCTGACTAATGTACTACAGTTAATGATCTACTGCTAATACAGCGCTGTTAAACACCTCAGTGTGCCGACCAACTCTGACTAATGTACAGTTAACAACTCATTACAAGTAATTTTACACAGATTAGACATTTATCTGATATGTTGGAGTTCATATCTCTGAGAATGAATGTAAAACACTTCTGGACTGAATTCGGGTTCTCCAGTTCTAAGCTGTGTGTTTCTCATGTCTGCTATGAAGAACTGATGTAGTCATATTACAGAATTGCTTTGTGAATCCTTAACACCAGTGAATGGAGTACAGTGTCTTATTTCTGCTAATGGATCTTACCTGTGACTGAAAGATCAACTCCACCTGCACCTTGATACTTTCCTCCAGGTTGGTCTGTTATAAATCTGAAGTAGTATTTACTTTGATCCTTTTCTGTCACAGTCTTAAATCTGAGAGTGCAGTCGCTGTGTTCATCTCCGAGGTACTGAACTCTGCCTCTGTACTCTGGATCATCTGACAGATCAGGAGGCTCTGAACCAGATGTAACCAGCTCTTTAGTCCAAAAAGCCTTTTGGACTGGATGATCTCTTGGATATCTGTAAGTGCACTCCATGGTCACTGCAGACCCCTTTAGAGCACAGAAAGATTTCTCATTGTAATTCACAGCCCACCCATCCTGAGCAACAACTCCTGTAACACAAAATACAAAAACGTGTAAATTATTACTGTTTGGGTCTCGGTCAGTAAAAATGCTGCATAAAGTCTCCACTTCAGCTCATTTCTAAGACTGTTCATTTCAGCTGAGTTTGAATAATCAGCTGTAATACTCTGAGCTCATTTGGAGATAAAAGCACAAAGTGAGAAGCTCCACAGGTCTTAGAGTAGTTTAGCACAACTGACCACAATATCATATATAAAAATGACCTCATAACTGTACAGAGTTCAGTGAGAAACAGCGGAAACAGCAGAGAAAGTCAGAGACATTCTGAGTGAGATCAGCAGTTCAGCCTGTATGATCACAATATTTAACAAGATAATGTTAATTTACTGAGTTATTTATGCAAATTCAAGGATCATCAATATGTCTGTATCTGTAAAGCACTTTCATAGTGCAGATAAAGCTCAGTCAGCAGAAAGAAAGCAAGCAGAGCTCATACATTCACTTAGTTCACTGACCATTAGAGGCTTGTAATGTAGTGATATTCATGTTTTACAGGCCTCATATTGGTGCTGCATTGCTGATATTATATACACACTTCATTATTAGAGTGTCTCAGTAAATATTCTGTATCAGAATCACCAAAAGACCAATAGTCAAACTACACTTGTTAACTTAAACACAATATAAATATCAGTGTCAGTTCACTTCTCTGTCCATTAACTATGAATTGATGACTCTTGACTAATTCCAAAAGCACTAAGAGTGTTTCCTACCTTCATTAAGCGACGGTCATCTCCTGAACTGGAAGAACGAATGCAGAGAAAAGGAGGAGCTTTCACAGTTTAAACTGATAAACTGTATGTGGTTAAAGTGTTGCTGACTTTCTCAAATTCACTGACAATTATTCTTCCTGTTTTCACTGAATCAGTCCTTCCTTATTCATTTATGCAAGACACACTTATTCTCATTAAAAACTGAATTAAAATTGTATGTCATAAAACCACTAGAGGGCCTGCTCTATGACCAGATAACACTGCTCAGTTTCTGTGTGCTAATGCTAAAAGCACATGATAGCACACACAGCATTGTGGGTTTGAATTAACTGATGATGTTATTAATTTTCTCCACTGATGATCACTGAAAGCTACATCTTCCCCTATTCTGTTCACCACCATCAGTGACTGCAGCATTAATGTTAATGATAATAAACTCTTACACTTGTAAAGGACCTTTAGTCCATCATTCTTCAATGACTCTGTAAAGGGTTTTATTTTCTTTCATTACGTTTCCCTCAAAATGGAATTCATCTTTTTTTTATTTTATATATTTTTGTGGGCGTTGCTGTGATGTCATCTGGTGCGTCACACACACTCTCTTCAGTCTGGTTAGAGCACTGCTGGAGAGAGGTTGGTGTAGCTTCAGCTCTGAGCTATGAAGTGGTCATAAAATGTTTAACATAGTGTAAAAAGTTATAATACTGGTTTAATATGAAGCGCAATAGCATAGGGATCTTTATCTGGATGTCTTATAGATAGATTTTGAGTATTTCCAATGTATTACCGAGTAAAAGAGTGAGGAGTATTAGCATGCTATAGCTGCCTGTAATATGAGAAGGTAACCCCTCCCCCACCTTTTCTGTGATTTTCTGGGTGGCAGAGAGGCTAATGCAGGCAGACACAAGGCTGGGAGCCATTTCTCACTATTTTTCTGTCTTATACATCCAGAGCACTCTTCAAATAAATGATCCCCAGAGTTGGTACCAGCATCTAAGCCTCCTGAGTATTTTTCTTCACACAACACAACGCAGAGTAAGAGTGGCTGTGTCGGCCTCACACAAGCCAATGCAGAGAGGACCGGCTACAACTGCTCAGCTTGCAGAGCTGCTTCTGGATCAGATTCCTCCCTCTTTTATATTTCAGTCTCAGAATCAGATCCAAGCACAGCAGTTCTGCTCTGACAGGCCTTGTAAAGATCAGAGCAGCATTGCACAAACACACTCATTAGCTGTAGTGATAAATGGAGCTTAGCTTTAACTTTAACAAGGAGATGAAAATATGGACTGGACACAATAAGATTACAAGAAACTTTTAAAAATAAAATCATTAAATGAACAGTGGTTGCAAAAAAGTGGTACAGCGTCAAGCCCATCTAATGACATCTAATGTGAACAAAATAAATGGGTGACTATTAGGATAGGAGGGAACAAAAGTTGTTGAAAACTGCACTTTTTTAAGGCTTCTTCTTTATTACCTACAAAAACAAGAAGGTTGTTTAAGTAGCAGAGTAATGTCAGAAAATTCTGGTCCCCGAATATGTTCATCATGAAAAGCATGAAATTTGTTGGACTTCTAACCTTGCTTGCCTAAACCTTGAGGGGGAGCCTCTTAAAATCAAGGAGACACATAAGTGTTGTGAAACCTGTCAGTCTTCTTCAACCATTTCAATGTTGACAAATCCAGAGCTTTGATCCACTGCACAGAATATGCAGTTTCCTTCTGGGCATCTTTAACTGGACGACTGATTATCCGGCAGTAATCTACACACATGCACAGATCTTCATCTTTCATCCACACAAGCAGACAGGCCCAGTCACTGCAGGATTATCATATGGGTTCTTGTTCCTCCATCTCTGAAAGTACTTGCCTCAACTTCTGGGACTGTCCTGGAGGAATGCGGCGGTATAGTAGCTTGAATGGCTGAGAATCTGACAGGTGGATACGGTGAACAAATTCCTTTACCCTCCCACAGTCTAGCTTATGTTTTGAGAACACATTTTCATACTTCTAACTATCAGCTGCAGCAACTGATAGTTCCAGTAGAATAACACTTCACAGGATTCAATGTCCAAATCCCTTAGATCAAGCTTCTGTAAACTGTCCTGGAAACTGAAATCTTAAATATTACTGGCTGTAGTATTACAGGCTGTCTGGATCTGCATGTTCACCTCCTCATCTGTTGTTTGTTCAAGGCTTGCATCAAGACTTCCAATACTATACAAAAGAACAGATCAGCTATTTTAGACCTCTATCTCTGTGTCACAAACTTGTCACATGGGTTTAAATCTACACTGGGACCCACCTGTCACCACTCATGGAGGCTGCAACCTTTCCGACAATTACGTCCTTTTGTGAGTCTGAGACTTAGATGTTTCAATGTTGTATCTGGATCATCAGAAGGACTGGAATGAACAGTCTGTGTGAGGGAAAGAGAGAATGAAGCAGAGGAGGAGAAATGAATAAATGTGGACTTTGTAGGAATTCTTTATAAATCTGAACGTCTGACTGAACTGAGTTTCTGAAGAGACACTTACTGTGAGTGTGTTGTACACATCATCAGAGGACCTGGACACGGGGTCAAGAGCTGTGTACGTGTCGCCCTTAGCATTGGGGTCAACATTCTGGAGAGACAAGAATATAATCAGTTTAAGAGCTTGCTGACAAACATCAAGCGCATTTAACTTGCAAAGCCAAAGGCCAATGGAATAATTGTAAAATATTTTTGGAACATCACTGCTTGCTTCCATACTTTTGTTCTGTAATATTCATGACATGTTTTTTTGTGTGTGGAGGTGCTGAGACTGAATCACAGACTGTGTTGGAGTGCCAGATGCATCTTGGATCAGTACTGCCATCTACAGGTAATGACTCCAGCTGCTGGAGCTCCTCTACACTGCAGAGCGTGGTGTTTACTGTGGAATAACCCACTAAACCAACTCAACAGGTAAGAAACAACCTTCAGGAGTTTAATCAGATGAGTTACAGCAGCACAAACACTAAACTGTGCAGTTCAGCTTCACTCCAATAGCAGTCTTGAACAGCTCACCTCATGGTCATCTTCCTCCATTGTCCTCTTCTTCTTTTTCCTAATTTCAGAGAAGAGTTAATTAATAAGGACCTCAAATGATTCCTCAACCTGTATAACATTCAATTATATTTTCAGTCCTTTGTGCTGTTGCTACATGAAAGAAAGGTAAAGAATTTCTATCAATATAACATACATGTGATACATGGATTATGCTCACACTTATGCTCATTCTTACCACATTAAGAAAATTACAGCAAAAAACGATGCAAATAGACAGAGTCCGACTCCAACCACCACATACAGAATTATGGAACGTTCTGCTGAGACACATGAACAAAACAGAGCAAATGTTTTATCTATCCTATTAAACAGCAACAGTTCTGTCAGTAAGCATTTAATGTAAGGAAATATATAATTTTCTATGTATACCTTTTAAAGTGTCTGGCAAAGCAGCTGATTTTTGAGACCCGTATTTATTCTGAGCCACACAGTAGTATCCACTGCTTTTAGAGACAAAGGTAAAGCTGTAATTTTGTCCAGATCCTACAGGTGAGATTCCACCTTCTTTAAACCAGGTGTAGTTCTGCACAGGTGGGTTTGCATCACTGCTGCAGGTCAGAGTCACTGAACTGCCCTCCCCTATTTCACCAGACGGACTGATGGACACTGAGATACTTCTTGGAGGATCTAAAATTTAGGGAACGGGAGTGGGTGAATTAATCAGAATGTGGTGTCTGTGGTTTTTTGCACACACTTTCAGGAGGTAAAGTTTTACTGGGTAGTTTGAGTGGTTTATAATTCCAAAATGCATTCAGGAGTTAACTAAAGTGAAGGGAATTGGTCAAAAACGGTTTTTAGTTTGTCAGACATTTCCCACATTTAACCAAGCCTCTACTGTGATTTTCTCATTACATGTTTGAATGCAGTCTAAAGCACCTGTGTCAGGCTCCAGTCCTCGCAGACCAAAACACTACAGATTTCAGTACACTGCCTCATCAAACACACCTGATTCAGCTCATTAGCTAATTAGCAAGACCTTCTTGAACTGAATTCAAAACATCAGATGGGGGTAAACGCTACTCTCCACAGCACATTGGTCCCCAGTTTGACATACCTGGTCTAAGGGAAATTCCCAACATGTACACTTAACATAAACCTACCTAACCAATTGCCATTTACGTAAAAAATTTAAGGAATCCTACAAAGAGTAATTTGTATGTCATAAAAGTTGGACAAGTCTGTGATCTTTTTTACATGACTTTGAGGAATAAAGGCCAATGACTTTTGACTTAGTACTTATAAATATGGACAAAATATATAAAAAATATATACAAAAATATGTTTTAAAAAATGTAATTAATAGGGGAAAAAGTATTCAGATAAATCAATAACATTAGAAATTTGTTGCAAAGCTGTTGTTAACAGTTAAGCTTTGAGACACCTACATTTAAGTAATTTAAATGGGCATCATAAATTATCCAAAGTTATGAGGCCCTTTGATGGACTTCAAAATCAAAATTCAAAATCCTCTATACATTTTCAATAGGACTTAAGTCAGGAGATCGGCTGGGCCATGCAAGCATCTTCACCTTCTTTTTTCAGAAACCAGTCTTGAATCATTGTCTTGATGAAATGTTCATCTTCTCCTCAGATTAAGCTCCTTAGCAGATCAGATTAAATTCTCCTCTGATGTGTCCCAATACATCCTGCCAGTCATGTTTCCTTCAATGACTTGTAATGCCCTGATACTGTTTGCAAAGAAGCAGTCCCATATCATGATGCTCCCACCGCCATACCTCACTTTGGTTGTGGTGTTTTTAGGGTTCCTACGTGCAACCGTTCTTTCTCCAAGCATGACAGACTGAATTACTGCCAGAGTTGTATTTTTGTCTTGTCTGACCAGAGTATGTTGCTCCAAAAGAGTTCAGATTCTCATTCTCATGCACACATTTTAGACACACATCTTTTTGCTTCTTTTTTAGAAGAGGAGCAGAAGGTTGTAGGAATGGAGATGATTGTGGAGCAAGTTTTACTTATTGATCTCTGTGTAGATGGAAGCTTTAGCGAGAGTTCTGCCAGGAAGACTCCAATGCTATGTTATTCATTCATCCATTTCTCCTGACCAATTTCTGACGTACACCTGTCTTTAAAATGACTCGACTTTCAGACCTTTTCTGCTGCTTTCAGGTGCCGACGTTCCGAATTTCTATCCGCTTGGCAGGGGTGGAGGCCAAACCTCAGACATCTTGATCCAGCAGGACCTGTGAGCATCAGGACACTCCAAGACCTGGACACGAGGATGGGGCCTATGCTGAAGATGCGTGAATTTCTACTGAATTTTTATTTTTCAACTTGTAAAATCCCATCAAGTATTAAAATTATCTTCCTTTGCTTCTGCCTCATGAGTCTTCCTGATAGAACTGTTGTTCCTGCTGGTTTCAGGTTGTTCTGCAACTCTATTCAAGATGCTGCTTGCTTTCTCTCTAACCTTCTTTACCATCAGTCTGAGAGTGTGTTGAGAAATCTTGCATGCTGCACCTGTGCAGGGACAATAAGCTGTGGTTCCATGACCTTTCCACTTGTATATTATCAAACTAATGTTACTGACAAAGATGTTTAAGGTCTTTGCTATAGTTGCTATAACTAACTCAATTTGAGTCTTGCTTAACATTGTTGTGACTTAATTAACTCTCTACTGTCATTTGCTGGACTTTTTAAATAGTGTTTGTATTCAGTCTAAGGGACAAACCCTGACTTAAACCGATCAGCATATTTATATAACATAAAAGTCACAAAATTACTGAATGATAAAATATATTCAATAAATATTTGAGACATATTACATTTTCATGTAGAAAATTCAAGAGAACTGCTACAAAACAGATTGTATAACTGGAACAAGTAAACATGCACTTACACAAAACATTCAGAGTTAGAGCTTCAGAGAGTTTCTCTCCATGTTCATTACTGGATCTGCACTTGTATTCTCCACTGTCCACAGAGCTGATCTTGTTCATTGTGTAAGTCTCTCCTTTTGCTACTAATGATGTTCCTTTAAACCAGTTACATTCCACAGGTGATTCTGCATCACTGCTGTAGGTCAGGCTTAGATCGTGTTCAGCCTCAGTTTTACAGTAAAAGGGTGTGTGTGTGGCCTAAGTACATTAATAACGAGGAATATCTGTATTTATTGCATTTACTGATTGATATAATTTAATCAAGAACAATTCAGCATGAACTCTCAGCTTTGTTTGTTTTCTGAGACTAAATAAATGAACCTGTACTTACATCTGACATTAAGAGTGACCTCAGGAGAGTGAAGGTTCTGACCCAGTACAGCACAGTGATACCTGCCTGCATCCTCCCTGCTGACCGGCTGCAGGTGGAGTTTGTCAGTACTGGAGGATAAAGGATGTCCATTTCTGTACCAGGTGAATGTTGGTCTGTCAGTCAGTCTGCAGGTGGTTCTACATGTGAGAGTGACTTTATCTCCCTCTATCACTCTCTCAGGAACCTCCACCTGGAGACCTGAGAACCAGAGAAAACAAACTCATACTGTGGAGACTCACACTAGCTGAGTGAATATTTCACTGCTGTCTTAGAATTAAACTTTGAAACTACTTGCAGCTCAGGCTGGGCTTCAATCCACAACTATTTATTTTTTTTCTGAATTCTGGTTCTCCAGTTCTAAGCAGTGTGTTTCTCAGGTATTCTATAAAGGATTGATGTGATTCTACTACAGAACTGCTTTGTGAATCCTGAACACCAGTGAATGAAGTACAGTGTCTTATTTCTGCTGATGGATCTTACCTGTGACTGAAAGATCAACTCCACCTTCACCTTCACACTTTCCTCCAGATGTGCGTATTATGAATATAAAGTAGTATTTACTTTGATCTTTTTCTCTTACATCACTCAGTCTGAGAGTGCAGTAGCTGAATTTATCTCCGAGATACTGAACTCTGCCTCTGTACTCTGGATCAGCTAAAAGATCAGGTGGTTCTGCACCTCTAATCCAGTATTTGGTCCAGAAAGCTTTTTGGACTGAAAGACCTCTTGGATATTTGTAAGTACATTCCATGGTTACTGTAGACCCCTTTAGAGCACAGATAGATTTAGAGTTGTAATTCACACCCCACACATACTGAGCAACAACTCCTGCAACACAAAATATAGAAATGTGTAAATTATTACTGTTTGGGTCTCAGTCAGTAATAATGCTGCATAAAGTCTCCACTTCAGCTCATTTCTAAGACTGTTCATTTCAGCTGAGTTTGAATAATCAGCTGTAATAATCTGAGCTCATTTGGAGATAAAAACACAAAGGTGAGAAGCTCCACAGGTCTTACAGTAGTGTGTGTGTTCAAGAACAAAACAGAAAAGCAGAAATTAGCACACAGCAGAGAACTCTCAACTCTATACTCACAGCTGTCCAGATTATCTTACATAAAATAAAGTTTAAAGTGTGCAGTTTCTATTTCACATTTTGACACTGATGAGAAGTAACAGCTCTGACTCACCTGAGATGAAGAACAGAAACAGCAGAGAAACAGTCAGAGGCATTCTGAGTGAGATCATTACTGCTGCCTGTATGATGGCAAAATATGACAAAATACTGTTTATTTACAGAGTCATAAATGCTGTTTCATGTTTCAACAACTTTACATCAAAGCTATTTTTATTATTGTAGGCAAATACCTATAAGAGTGCTTTTACTTCTTTTTCAAGTTTTTTTTTATATTTTGAACAATAGTTAACAGGCCTCATATTAGCTCTGTATCTCTAATGTTATAAAAGCACACTTGACTGCATTATTTATTATTATTACTATTAGTAATACCAATAATCATTATTATTAGTAGTATTAGTGATACTAGTAGTAGTAGTAGTAGTAGTTGGTGTATCATTTACTATTTATTCTTGTTACAAAATTATTATTCTAGGAACAATTTTTTAACTGGAATTTACAAATGGGTCAATTTTGTTATTTTATTAAGATATACAATGCTCATATTTTAAACAGTAAATTACAAGCATACAATGACTAAATAAATAAATAAATAGATAGATAGATAGATAGATAGATAGACAGCAGTATTTTGGTCAGAAACTGACCAAGGATGAATGACAGGGAGGAGACTGATAAATTGTATGGAGACATATGCGCTACAGTGAGTAATAAGGCATACCTAACAAACTGGAAATTCAGTGTAAACTGGCACCAAACAAAGTGGCAATGCAGTGTAAATAGTAAACAGAACATTGTAATTTTGTGGTATGTGTACAAGTGCTGTCAGATGGGGTCAGAAAAAAAATTTGAATTTTCCCTATGTTTGTTTGTCAAATATCTGATGATTGAAAAAAAAAGAAAAAACAACATTTTTGCAAAGAAAATAAACAGGATACATAACTTCAGCAAATTCTAGATTTCTAATTTAATGTTATGTCTCCTAAAAGGCACTTAGCATAAATTATGAAGTAATCAAACAACCCACACAATTTTTTCTTTCACTTGATGGTAGCAGCAGTACCATGAACTTACAGTGTGATGCACCACACTGTATTAATGTAGTTAGCTGAAGTATAAGAGCCTTTTGTGTCTGAGCGCGTTCGGCTGTCCAGTGACGTTGTGTGAGCGGCAGTTCGAAAAGAAGCGGTGGCTTCACAGGTCTCGGAGGAAGCCTGTGTTAGCCTTCACCCTCCCAGCGTTGATAGCAACGTGTGATTGGGGGGGTCCTAACTAGCGGGTGGAATTGGAGACGACTAAATTAGGGAGAAAATCGGGTAAAAATTAGACTGTATTCGTCTATCCTTATGATGGTTGTTCCAATGGATAACTCTTGTGCAAGCCCAAACAAGGTAATTGCTCGGTGGCTGCTTACGCTTTGGAGTTCCATACTCTAGTCGCAGGTAGTGGGTGGAACAAACCTGCACTCCTTGTAGCATTCAGAAACAGACTAAATCCCAAAGAGTTTACCAAAATTGGCATGCAAACATGACACCTTGACTTTAGATCAGTATCACAGATTTATCAATACGGCTAGACCAATTTTTTGTATTGTGTCGCAGCTGGTCCCATTTTGTGTGACTGTCAGGCTCATCCGCACAGACCTCAGGCGCCAACCCCTGGAAAGCATGTGGATTCATCCATTCCGACATGGTGGCCAAACTACACTTCCTGGTAAAAGATCTCCCTAAAGGTCCGCTGCGTTGGACGGAGGACCTGTTGGAGTTGATCCCATCACTTTCGTCACTGAACCTGTTTTACAAGAGACTAGTTTTCCTCCGCAACCTGATGGGGAGTTTCATCATTGCTTACATTGATGACATTAGTCTACTCCCCTGATTATGATACACATGTGCAAAAAGTACATCCTCTGTCGATTACTTAATAATAACCTTTCATCTAGAAAGACTGGCCTTCGTATGTTATTAGTTCTCAGTGTTCTGATGGATGATCAGAAAGTAGAATCCATTGTCAATTTGGCCTACCCCCACATGCTTCAAAGAGCTTCAAAGTTTCTTAGGCTTTGCCAATTTCTATAGACTGTTTATTCGTGACTTCAGCTCTATCGCCGCTCAAAGCCATGCTCAAGAGAGGGTCTAAAGTTAACGTGGGGTCCCACAGCAAAAACTACCTTCCAAAAACTCTCAACAGCTTTGACATCCGCTCCCATTCTGAGGCACCCAGATATATCCAAGCCATATATATATCCGAGGTGGATGCTTTGGTGACTGCTTTGAGCTGCTCACCCTTTTTTGGTCCTCACCGACTATAAAAATCTAGAATATCTACACTATATTGCCAAAAGTATTGGCTTGTCTGCCTTCACACGCATATGAACTTGAGTGACATCCCATTCTTAATCCATAGGGTTTAATATGATGTCAGCCCACCCTTGGCAGCTATAACAGCTTCAACTCTTCTGGGAAGGCTTTCCACAAGGTTTAGGAGTGTGTTTATGGGAATTTTTTATCATTCTTCCAGAAGTGCATTTGTTTTGATTTGATGTTGGACGAGAAGGTCTTGCTCGCAGTCTCCACTCTAACTCATCCCAAAGTTGTTCTATTGGGTTGAGGTCAGGACTCTGTGCAGGCCAGTCAAGTTCTTCCACACCAAACTTGCTCATCCATGTCTTTATGGACCTTGCTTTGTGCTCTGGTGCGCAATCATGTTGGAACAGGAAGGGGCCGTCCCCAAACTGTTCCCACAAAGTTGGGAGCATGAAATTGTCCAAAATCTCTTGGTCTGCTGAAGCATTAAGAGTTCCTTTCACTGGAACCAAGTGATTAACATTTCAGCCACAAAAATTAGATATTTAATTTTAAAGTTATTAAAATAATAATTTTTTTTTTAAATTGTAAAAGTTGAGTACAGCTAATTCAATTGTTACCACAAAGTATTTTTTTTTTTAAGGTAGAACTGAAGAAACCTTTTACAGTGTAGCTAAAACTGGAAAGTAATACAGCATCATGCCATAAATCTGTGTTGTATAGTTTATTTTCATTTTGGACTAATGATACTTGACAGCAGATGCAATGTTAACAAAAAATGCATTTCCTCTAGGTAATAAGAAATAAAAAATTTTAAAAAAGACTTTTACATTCATTTCTCTTCTCCTAGCAAGTTACTGTACTCTTGCTACAGAGTCAGAATTAACACACTGCCTATGGTGAGCGATATTTACAATGGTATCTGGTCAAATGAATTAACAGTTATAAATATATAAATAAAAGTGAAGTGAAATTACATGTGCTTTATTTTCTACACAAAGATTTAACAAACTGTTGTTTCCAAAATATTATAAAATTACTCAACTTGCATTAAAATCGAGTCCAAAAACACTAAAATGAAGTAGTTTATGTATGTAGGTCATCATTTGAATATAAAGCACAAAAACTGCCAATCTATGACATATCTATTATAGAAATCACTCTGCATCGGTCGCACCACATGATGTTTTTAAGTTCTGTCAAAATTTACCAGAACAGAATTGGCCACCGAAAGAAAATAAGC